GGGTTATAAGGTGATTGATGCTTTGTTTTTCCGGTAATTGACATTGTGTTGCAGAGGAAAATGAGAGGTTTTTACTGTTATAAGCCATGTGATGCGATTGTTAAATGTCTTGTTAATGGGTACATTGAATGTTGTTAATATAACTGTATGACTTGTTATTAACAAGTGATTTTGATAGGTTGATATGAAAGATGGCAACTTCAAGTGGGAAGCATTTGTTCTGTTACCTCCATATAAGGGGACAATTTATTAATAGTGTAGAAGATGAAATGCAATATGTTAGAGGTTGTGTAAGAATAAGAATGATAAAGAAAGGCACACCAATCACTAATAGACCCTCAGGGAGGCCAAAGAAAAGAAGGATTGAATCTCAATTTCAAAATAAAAAACTTTATCACTGTGGAAGATGCCATAAGTCATGCCACACTGTAAAGACTTGTTAGAACTCCAATCCAAGTTGAGCTTTGTTGGTGGCTTGTTTATATTTCTTTTTGTGAATGCTTGTGACATAATTGTTTTGTAAATATCATAACCCACACCTCAAGTTGTCCGTCATTATACACACATGCAACCTGTGTGCTTGGTGTAGTTATATTGTATAGATATATCAAGTGATAAATGACATCTGGTTGTAATCTGATATAATATCATATATGTATTTTGATATATTTGTCAATAGGCTGTAATGGACTTGTTATTAGATGCTGTGGAGGTTGTCATTCGTAATATGAATTATGTTACTGATATAAAGTGACAGTTTCTCTTACTTGCAATGTTCAATGATTTCTTAACACAAGATTGTTGAGTCAAAGTTGTAACATGATGTCATTTGGTTATAATTTGATACTATGTTGAGGCTGTGATATCCCACAGTGTGAACTGTCAAAGGCACTGCCGAGGTTGTTAATCACTTCTCCTCAGGTTGTCAACAGCCGCCATTAAGGTCGTAAATGAATCTCTACAATAAAAATCTGCTGCAATCCTATTGGGTTCAGTTACAGCTGTTAATGACTTCAAAATGCTTCACATTATATTGTTAAGATCATTATGTGTTCTGATAATACAATTTGTTTAGAAGCTGTGGTATCTGATAAAGTGAGTTGTCAAGGGTACTGCTGAGGTTATTAACCACTTCTCCTCAGGTTGTCAACAACCGCTGTTGAGGTTGTAAATAAATATCTGCAATAAAAATGTGCTATAATCCTGCTGGGTTTACTTAAAGCTGTTAATGACTTCAAAATGCCTCCCATTATATTGTTAAGTTCATCATATGTGCTGATAATATAATTTTTTTAAGAAGCCGTGGCATCCCATATAGTGAATTGTCAAGGATACTGCTAAGGTTGTTAAGCACTTCTCCTCATGTTGTCAATAGACGCCGTTGAGGTTGTTAATGGATTTGGTAGAGAGGATTGTGATATATACATATCATGTCACCATGGTTAGTATTTGTTTATCCAATTTTATTAAGCCTTCTTTTCTAGACATAATTCGGGTTTGAAATAAGAAATTTTGTAGTTATCAAAACACATGAATGCTATTACAACAACTTCATAACTAGGAAATGATGCCAATCATATTAATATAACTTAACATTCAGCTATCATTATATGATCAAATAAAAAAAACAAAATCTGAACTTTACTTTCAGCTGTCATTATGCTGTCAATTGAAAAAACAAAATGTGATGTTTATATTCAGCTGTCATTATGCTGTCAAATGAAAAAAACTAAATGCAATATATGCTGCTTGTTTATTTCTTCCTCTTGCTTTGGGAGTTTCCTCATAGCAAAGACAGCACTTGATCACTATGCAGGTTGTTCCTATGAGTTATAACTCACCACAAGCATCCAACCTTCAAGTCATGTGACTTCCTTGTCAATTTTGTCGTTTTTGTCAAATAGTGCTAGCTTCACTCTATAAAGAACTTGGTAGAAACAATCTCTTTGCAAAAACAAAACAAAAAAAAGGAACAACTTTAATAGTAGTGAATGACAAGTAATCAACAGGCATTAACAACCTTGACAGTAGTGAATGACAAGTAATCAACAAGCATTAATTGACAGTTTATCAAAACCAATTCTTTTTAGCGTTTTCATCATATCATATGTGTTAAGAAATCATTAATCACTGCAAGTAGGAGAAATTGTCACTTTATATCAGTAACATAATTTAGACTGCTAATGACAACCTCCATAGCTTCTGATAACAAGTCCATTACAGTCTATTAACAAGTACATTGAAATACAGATATGATATTATCTCATATTACAACCAAATATCATTTACCACTTGATATATATGTACAATGAAACTACACCAAATTTACATTTTATCTATAAGGTCCACAAATGTACACTCATCAAAGGTTACTGTGAATTTGATAACCCTTCCATTGTTTTCTTTTCCCATAATTGATGCTACCATTGTTCTAAATTCTTTATAAGATATGCCTTTCTTTATCATTTTTGTTCTCACACTACACCTCCAACATACTGCATTTCACCTTTTACACCATCAATAAATTGTCCCCCTATATAGAGGTAACAAAACAAATGTTTCTCACTTGAAGTTGCCATCCTTCATATCAACCTGTCACAATCACTCGTTAATAACAAGTCATACAGTTACATTAACAACCTTCGATGTACCCATTAACAAGACATTTAACCATCGCATTACAAGGGGTTATAACAATAAAAATCTGTCATTTTCATTCTTTTTCATCAGTAACACAGCATCAATCATCGAAAAACAGAGTATCATTCACCCAAAAACAGAGTATTACTTTATAACCCTAACCACACATAACAAAATCACACCTAAGATGATTAAAACCATATATGACTAAAATAAGCTTTCCTTGATAGTTCAAGTGAGTTAAATCACATCTTTAATACCCACACATCCACAGCCAATCAACCTTTCAAACCAACATTAAACTTGAGATTGGTTGTGTACAAAAGAAAAGAAATCTTGTCACTAATGAGACCTACAAAGAAGATAAAGAAAAAATATAGCTTGCCTGGAATAATGGAGCACCAGCACAGACCTCTGTTCCTTCTTTCAGAAGCTCTTCTTCCTCATACATGCAGCACCAGAAAGCTTTCCTTCTATTTTTTCTTTTTTCCATCAATAAGGGCATAACAGACTTTTTACAATTGCAATTTATTACACACAGGTCCCTGGGGACTTAGGAAGAATTTGGGGATTTCTAGGGACTTTATCTGAATTAATTCTCCTCTATGTGACCTGTGTATAATTTTTCCTTTAATTTATATTAAATTAAATATTAATTAATGTAATATTTTTTAGTTAAGCTAGATAACCTCCTTAAATATCAACTTATGAGGGCGGCTTCAAAATTCAGTATTAGCTGATGGTATTATATTGTTTACAACCATTTCATAATTTACAAACTGATCTGCAAGTAATCTTTTAAAAATGGCCGTTAATCTTTCGAAATTTACAACCAAGTTACCCATCACAAGGGAAATTTTATCCGTTTGGATTTTATAAAAATATTGGTCATTCTTTGTAAATTTTAAATTCATGATTTTTTTTTAAAATCACTTCCATAATTCTCATGCACGATTCTTCAAAATAATCAGCCCTGCCCCTCGGTTTTGAAAAATCAGATTGATCCATGAAGAAATTGGGAGTCTTCCTTATCATCGAATGCTTCATTTAGAGACGGAATAAGAGGAAAAATTATACTCTTTTGGTCTTTAATATAAGACTCATTTAGTTAATTTGATTAGATTAAGGAAGTTAGGTAAGTTAGTTAATTACAAGAAATTTGATATGTTTTTTCTAAAACACCATAATTATCTTTCTTAATACCCCTCTCACTTTTCTACTTGATTATGGTTGAGAAAGTGTCTATAGGAGTAATTTAGAGAAAATTGATAAATATGAAAAATGATTCTTATATTTAGGACCAAAACCAACTTAAGAATTAAATCATATATTAAGGACCGGAGGAGTATTATTTATTAAAAAGGGAGTACTTTAGGTATCATCGTTCGATTAATTTAAGAAAATTGTTAAAACAAAACTCCTAATTTATGTGTTTGAAATTTGTTTAAAAAGCCAATTACAGCATATTTTTAACCCCCGACTATTCCTCAGATGTGTACAGTTTAAAATATGTTACACACAACTGATGAAGATCTGCACCCACTCAAAAACCTGAATTTCTAGATATTGTTGGACAATAGGTTTTGCAATAGGAGATGTTTAAACAAATTTCCAATCAATTTATTTGTCTTTAGAAAAATGTAATACTCCTCATAGTTATTTAACTAACAAATTGGTATGATTTTCTTAAAATACTCTAATATAAAACATTGTGTTATCTACCAATTTATAAATTAAATAAATTAATTTGAGAAAAATAATAAAAATAAAAGATAAAATTATAAAATAGATTAAAATCTTATATTTAATTTCAAAACTACTACCTCTGGTTCTTAATAATTAATATAAGAATCAGTTAAATAATTTAAAAAATAAAAAAGTTATTAAATTATAGCATGTGTCACATAATATCTCTAAAATACTTATATTTCTTATTAGATTATATATTAATTTATAAACAAGACAAATTAGTTTGAATAAGAATGATAAATATAAATACTTTAAAGTAATTTATTAATTTTTTAACCACTCCAAATTATACAATTCTTAATTATAGTAGCATTTAATTAGTTTCGATATTCAAAACTACGAGTAAAAACGATCGCGGAAAATTTGCAGCTGACGGGTGACACATGGGTTGTTGGCTTTTTGCGCAGGAGGTGTTTGGAAAAGGAGAATACTTATGTCAAGTTCATTACGTCAAGTTTGTCCATTTATCCAATCATATCTTGCCACATGTATTATTTGGCCTCATCACCATTTAACCCCCACAATCCGTTTAATCCCCGTTAGTCGAGAAAAATTATTTTTAAAAAAAAGTTAAAAAAGAAACCTGGGCATCGTTTGTGCGATCCAACAAAACAAGGAAGCGATGGCCGGTGAAGAGCACTAGCAGCAAAGGGCGCACAGAGATTTTGTGGGTAAGAAAGACCGCTGCACAAATGGTATTGCTTCTGCGAGATTCTTTTGTTTTGATTTCTCAAGACTTCTTTGATTTTTGATTGGGAACAAAATTTTGCTTGTTAGATTTGCTGGGAGATGAACATAGCGTCCATGCGAATGCCTTTCTACTCCTTGAAAGTGCTTGAAAATATCCAGCATCCCACTATCTTGTAAGGATTTGTCGTTGTTTTGTTTATTTTTGTCAGAATAGGAATACACGTCTTCTATTCAAAGTATCTCGTGATTGATGGATTCTTCTTCTGAATTTTGAAAAGAACAAGAAAAACAAGTAAAATCCAGTAACTACCTATGTTCTAATAGCTAGATAAGCTGAGAAAAACTATACCCATTAACGGATTTGGTCATGGCACTGTTGAAATAGTACTAAGTGGAAGCTATTGAGAAGCAGCCCCTGCCACCGCCAGCAGTAGTAGCTACAGCGGCTTGCTTTGGATCCTTTAGATTCATAGATCATATGATCTAATTCTACCTAGAATTACATCAAATTAAATCATCAAACACAAGTGGCTTAGACTAGCAAGATTTACTTGTGTTAACACTATTAACAGTATGATTTTTTGCGTTAGATTTATGACTGGTAAGAACATGCATCTTTTGGTAGATTGCCATTGTTTTTGTCTTTCAGGACTAAAAGAAGCGTTTGATCCAGTACTTGCTGCTTTTCTTAAAATATAATTGTCATGCCTCATGTCACCATATGTTGGATGATTCAATATTTGTTGAGATCCCCTCCTCCAATCATTCCCACGCAGTAATTTGTGAGAAGTGAGGAATGCCCTGTATTAATTCAGATAAATGACTATTCTTATAACTTAAAATACCTTCTTTTTTTTTTATTCACAGATATAAGTGACATTGCCAAACTGAGGAATTAATGTTATTCATAGGTATAATCCATGAAAAGTATCAAAAGTAGTCATTTACTTGATTATATTCATCTTATTGTTAGTTATTGTTAGCTACTGCTTCCTTTCTTGTACAAATGCTATTTGGCTTTGAAACATTGTTTTGGTTCTCATTTTGCTCTGTGTCAGCATTTTTCCTAGAAGATGCGTCTTCTCTTCCAACATTGAGGAACTAGAAGGAATGTATGGCACAATCACGTCTTTATATTCATTTCTATTGTCACTAGCATTTTCATTTCCATTTAAATTATTTTGGCTAGCATCATTCCTATTTTCTGAGTTTGAGGATTTTTCTTTGTTTTGTTTTGATAGAGGGTCAGAGGAATGGACTTGACCTTGATTGGCATCTATGCCTTTATTAACACTTCCATCACTTGGTTTGCTCCATTTATTTACCCATTCTTTCCTAACACTAAATCCAACAAAACCAGCATATGCATTATAAAATCTATACGCATGTTCTTCACTTTCAAATTCCATGCCCACATATGGTGTTAAATCTGCTTGATTTACTTCATGTTCTGTAAAATATTTATATAATTAATATAGAAGTATATATTAAAAATAAGAAACAACAAGAAAAAAATGGGATAAACAAAACAAAAGGCAAGGGATTGTACTCACCAGCCATGGGCGTGATTTGAATGTCTACAGGAGAGGAAAAGAAAAACGTATGTACGCAACTGGCTGGATAAAAAAATTAAAAAGCAAACAAATTAATAAAATAATTGGCATAGGGAAGCTACATTGATTTCGACATACTGGATATCAAAAAGAAGTTTGACATGGTTCAAAGTCTTTCTCAATAAAATAATCAAAGAAACCCCAAGAAATCAAAACAATAGAATCGCAGTATCTTCAGGCAGCATGTTGTCTCACCCTTTGCCGTAAGTGCTCCTCTTCGCCGCCCGTCGCGTCCCTTGTTTGATGGATCAACAATGCTCTAGGGTTTTTTGACTTTTTTTTTTTTAAAACAATTTTTCTAGACTAACGGGGATTAAACGGATTGTGGGGGTTAAATGATGATGAGGCCAAATAATACATGTGGCAGGATATGATTGGATAAATGGACAAACTTGACGTAATGAACTTGACATAAGTATTCTCCTTTGGAAAAATATAAAATCATAATTTTAAAAATATTTTTACGAAATAAATATGCGTAGCGCCCATCAAGTCAAGGTCTTCCACCGCCCCCGCTTACGTCGACATCTTTTGTCTTTTTTTTTTCACGATGGAGATTTCTCAAACCCGATGCCTTCAAATTCAACAAAGGCGTGCTCCTTCGGGACCGCATTGCTGACGAGCACGTCATGCTCAACACTCAAAACGCTGGCGTTTTGAGTGCTGAAAAGTGTAGGACTTCTTTTTTTGTTTTTTTTGTCTCTCTTTGTTCACAAAAAAAAAAGATATTTATGATCTTTAATATAAGGGTTTATTTAAATTTTATTTTAATCTTAAATATAATATTTTAATCCACTTTATTTATCATATTTATCTATTTTTTCTCAAAGTAGTCATTATAATAATGATAGTTTTAACCAATATATTTAATTAGTAAGAATATTTTAGAAAAGGCAACACCTATTTATTATAAATAACTAATTTAAATTAATCTAGTCAAATTAATCAATTAACTCTCATATTAACGACTAACAGTATTATATATTAAAATTATTTTTGGATTAAGTTTCATCAAATACTCAAATAATTTATCATGTGCATTCAATAAAAATACTAGATGTATCTAAAAAAATATTTTAAATCGTTGGATGAATCACAAAATATTTTAGAATACTAGATACATTTGATAAAATATTTGTGTGATGGATGAATCAAAAAATATTTTTAAAATGCTGAACTTGCTTGAAAAATAATTTAAGGTGTTAAATAATTGTAACAGAAAATACTTTAAAATGTGGGATATATCTTAAAAAAATATTTTAGTGTGTTTGGTGAAACTGAAAGTTAAATCAAAAATAATTTGTATGCATATTTTTTTAATAAAACAGATAAAAAAGAGGGGGGAGTAAGATTCCACTACTCAGCAGTCAAAACGCTGGCGCTTTAGGGTCTGTTTGGTTTGAGGGGAGGGAAGGGGAGGGAGGGGTAGGAGAGGAGAGGAGAGGTTTTATCCTCACCTTGTTTGGTTTGATTAAAAAGGAGGAGAGGGGAGGGTATTTAATGATCCCTTGTTTGGTTCAAGGAGGGGAGGGGAGGGATAGTAATAATCAATTTACCATTTTACCCTTACATATTAGTTTATGTTTTTTATTGATATATTATATAAATTAATTTACATCTTAATTTAAATTATATAATTTAATAAAAATTCAGTCTTATCATGTTAATATGTGTATTAAAAAATTGGTATAGTAATTTTTTATTCTAATTAATATAATAATATATTTAAAATAATCAAATTAACAAATTTTATATGCTCTAAGAAAAATGAAATTTTATTTTCTTTAGGCTATCTTTTTTTCCAGCTTTAAAATATATTTAATAAATAATATATTTATAAAAAACAATTAATTTTATATATTATATTTTTTTATTTAAATAATTTTTTATTTTTAAATAATTTTTATAATATATTTTTAATTATAATAATGTATTTATTTTTTATTTTTTACTTAGGATAATATATTTTTTATTTGAAATAAATATTATAATAATATATTTTATGGGTAGGAGTGGAATATTAAAAAAACCATAAGGGCATAATGGTCCAAAATTTTGGCTCCCCTCCAAAAACCCCCAATTTGGAGGGGAGCCAAAATGGGGAAGGGGAGGGGAGGGGACATTTTAGCTCCCCTCCCCTCCAAAATTTTTAACCAAATGAGAGGAAGGGCTCCCCTCCTCTCCCCTCCCCTCCCCTCCAACCAAACACACCCTTAAGTGTTGAGCACGCCGTGCAGACGCGTGCTGCTTCCCCACTTTCAACAAACCTGTGGGGCTTTGCTCACCTGGGATTCGCCCATCAAAATTCAAACCTACCATCTGGAATCCCAAGTTATTTCATAATTAACTATATCCATATAATTAAATAATCAATTTATAATTTATAAAATTACGAGTTTAAATCTTATTATCAATATAAAGATTTTGTTAGTGAATGATTTATAAATATTTTTTGAATCTAAAGACATATCCTAGTTTGGTGAAATTGTGAGACTCAATTCAACTAAATATTTTTTATATAAAAAAACTGTATTCATGTCACATCATTAAATTAAATAATTCCCTATAATTGGATTCCACTTCCAGGTGGCTTAAACCTTTGAAGTCAAACTTGGGAGTGCTGAGGTGAGATTCCATTCTATCTCTTTGTATCAGTAACAAATACTCCTCTTATCCTTAATATAGGATCTAATTTTTAAGTCAGTTTTGGTATTAAATATAAGACCTATTTTTTATATTTATCAATTTTTTTTCTAAATTATCTTTATAGATATTTCCTCAACCATAATCAAGTAGAAGAGGAAGAGTGATATTAAAAAAAATAATTATAGTGTTTTAGAAAAAAATATATCACTTTTCTTATAATTAATTAACTTACCTAATCTTTTTAATCTAATCAAATTAATTAAATAAATTTTATATTAAGATCCACAAGAGTATTAAAACTCCATGTCATCTTTCCTTCAAAGGATTTACTCCCTTCTGCGCTTTCCGTTCACCGGGAAATATGCTTATACTGGCCATTATCGGTTCCCCAGACACTGTCAATCAAGCAATTAATGATGTTTTTGGACCTTCGGGTTTATCTTTCACTTTCCACTACGGGGCCCACTCTAATGGCCTTGACTTGCTTTTCTGAGTCGTCAGGCAAGTTCGAGGTGCATCCCTTGTGTCTTCATCTTCTTGGAGCAATAATTTGGTGAGTAAAACAAGAACCTGTAAGCAAATCCAATTGCTTGCCAAAATGCCGCATTACTTATACTCCATTTTCTTCTTCTGTTTCTCTTTTATTGTTCTGAGTGATGCTGAGACTAATAAGTCTCGTCTCTATGATCAAGAATATGCAGTCGTACTGAATGTGAAAGTTGAAACAATCAGTAAAATGTTGCATATAGGAAAAATTATCTGCACAAAACATTATTCAGATACGAGTGTCTAATTTGTACATAAGGATAATTGTGCGATGAGAGGATGTGACATAAGGAAACATAATTGCATATGGTAAAAGATAGATTGCATATAAAAAAAAATTAACTTGAATACTGAAAAACTTAAGTTGTGTAAAATCGTTAGGTATTATTTACTAATTAAATTCTCAATCATGAGGGGTTTATTCCCAATTTTCCCTTATTCTTTTTGTTGTTTTTTTCTGTATTTTTTTGTTGCTCTGTTTGTCTTTTGGATTTTTTTTGTTTCTTTTTTTTTTTTGGCTGTTTCTGGTTGCTCCTGTTCTATTTTCTTTTGGATACTTTGTATTCATTTTTTGGTATTAATAAAATGTTTCTTATGCGAGAATGTAGTAAAATACATACCAAGAACTAAGAAGTTTCATTACAATTACTAATTTATGTTTTGGCTATAATCAATTACAAGGCAAAAACCCAGCTATATTCTTCCTGTCATATTTACAATATTTTTTTTAATTTTATTTCTAAGTCATAATTCTAACTTTCTTATATAGATGTATAAATTTCTAAGTTATAGTATTGAGTATCAAAATTAGTTAAAATTGGTTAAAGATAATAAAAATATATAAAAATATATTTCAAAATATCATTATTTATAAACAGAGTTAGTGAAAGAGAGAATGAGCATAGAAACAAAGATAAGAAAGACATATACAGTAATTAATAAAAAGTATGAAATATTTAGACATTTTCAAAGTGTTGTTTGTATAATCGAGTTAAAAAATAGAAGTTTATTAAAAAAAACAAAAAAAGAATCGGAGAGAATATTGCAATCTAACAAACCCCTTTCCAACCGCATTCACCAGAAAGCTCTGGCAGCAAGTGGGGCTAAGCTGACAGCAGTCTTGTTCAGAATGAAACTTGTCATAATCAGTTAATTGCAATGGAGAAAACTTGAGTTCTTGGATGGTGAAGGAGACCGTCTGTATCAATCACTCTCCAACCAATGCTTGTCCAATATACTACCTCTGATTTAATTATAAGACGTTATTTATAAACTATAAATGAGATCTTATAATTAAAACGAAATGTGATATTTTTTTAGTTTTAAAATAAGAAAAATAGTATTAAAAAACCTGTTGAAATAAAAAAAAACTATATACAGAAAGCCGTTCATAAAAATTATTGTCAAAACATATACTAATATTATTATGGGTTTCTATTTACAATTTTTTTATTTTAAAGGTTTTTTAACATTTTTCCTTTAAAATATAACACTCATTTTATAAT